AATTTGTACTTTGCATGTATTCTTGTGCGTGTAATGGTTCTCTATGATTTAATAAATATATGACACCAGTCTGATTGCGAGTTAAAAAAAAAAAAAAAAAAAATTAGAAGCAATAAAAAAATTTATTAAACAGTATCTAAGTATTTAAGAAAAATAATTAAAATCAATTTTTTTATTAATTCAGAGAATAAATTAATATATATAGCAAAAGTTTAAACAGATTATATATATTAAATCCAAATCCAGATTAGCATTAATCAAACTATTCAATAAAATAATTTCTTATTATATTTTCCTAAAAATTTTTTAATTAATAATATTTGTCTAAGAAACAGTATTAAATGATACAAGAAAATCTTTAATATTACTAGAGATCATATAATTTATAAAAACTTTTTTATTACTTGAACTTTTAAATAAATGCATATCCTATATAACTTAAAAGTCATTAATTAATTCAACAAAAATATCAAAAAATTTTACAATAACAAATATAGTATCTTGATTACATTTAAAATTAAACTGCTCTCAAAAATTTTTTTTATTTACTACATGCTTTGTTAATTTTATTTTAGTCAATATCCTGATATTTTTTGTTTAAGATATAAATTTTATACTAATATATTTGCAAATGTACTAAGGCCTTACAAATAACTGATTAATTTATCAAGATTGTTAATTAAATTTTCTATTCAAATAACAATTACAAACCAATTTCATATATATAACAAATTATTAAATTATTATATAGAATAATAAATAAAAAATTTTTTACTTTAACTCTTGTTAACTGAATCAAGGCAACAATAGAATCTTTAATTTAACTATATAATTAGATCTAAAAATTCTACTACTTTATAGCTAATATAAACTTCTCAATTTATCCAATTTTTTCAAATCAAAAAACAAGAATACCTTATATACTATATATAATAAAGATATATTCAATATTAATTTACAAGAAGATATTATTATTAATTTATCTTTTATTGTTATTAACTTATTTTATAATTTGATATTCTTATTTTTTAACTTTAATTCTATTTTTTTTAATATTTAATAAATATTTATAGCTGCTCAGTACTATCTAACAAAATATATTATTTTAATTTTTTTTTAATGTTAGTTGCATAATTACTATAAGCAAGCTAACATTTAATTCATTGAATTAATATATAAAATATATTGTTTTTTTTATAATATACAGTATATCTTGTTATATACAAATCAAATATAGAAATAATGTTTACTTATAAAAAAAAAATAAAAAAATAAAAAAATAATTTAGATAATTTAAAATTAGTAATGAAATTTTATTTTTAAAAAATTTTATTTAATATATACTATAAATCTATTTATTGAATAATTTAAAACTATAAATTTAATATATATGTAATTAATTGAAATAAACTAATTTTAATAAATTTTTATATAAAGATAAATTTTTAAAATAAAAATAAAAATATAATTCAAATATTTTTTATTATTAAAAAAGTTTTTTTTTTAAATATATAATATTAAATATAAGTAAATTATATTTTTTAAAAAATTTAAATTTAAACAAATAATTTATTATAATTAAAATTTTTTTAAATTTTTATAATTTCTAAAATAAAATTAAATAAGAATGATTTTTAAAAAATTATATATTAAAATATAGGTTCTTTTATATTATTAATAAAAAATTTAATATATTTTAATAAGACAATTGTCAAAAAATTAAATTTTAAATTTTAAATATTATTTAGTTTATAAAAAAACTTTTTAAAATATAATTCTTATCAATTTTAATATTTTTTAATAAATTGTATAATAAAATTAATAAAAATTATATTTAAAATTTTTTTTTATAAATTAAGCAATTTTAAAATTTAAAATTTGATTTTTTTAACAATTATTTTATTAAGATATATTAAATTTTTTATTAATAATATAAAAGAATTCAAGAATTTTTGATTATATAAATTATTAAATTATTGATTATTTTTTAAAATTTATAAAAATTCAAAAAAAATTAAAGAATTAAAAATTGTAATAAACGGTTTATTCTAACTTTTTTAAAACAATTAAATTAGATTTGAATTTTTTAAAAAAAATAATTAGTATTGTAAAATAAAAAAAACCACTTATTAAGATTTTTTATAATTTAAACTACTTAATTCAAGTGTTTTTAAGTTTTGCCTATTATAATAATAAGCAAATAGTTATGTTTTCTTAAAAAAAAATACAATTGATTTGTAAAATTTTATATGTTAACTGTTTAAAAATCCATCCTTATATCTCATATACAGTATAATCGAATATAAATCACTTAATAAAACCAAAATATATAAATAAATAAATATAAAAACAAACATGTATTTTTTGTCCAAAATAATAATAATAATAATAATAATAAAATAATAAATAAATAAATAAATAAATAAATTTTTAATATAATAATTAATTATCTAAATGTAATAATAAAAAATAAAATAAAATAAAATAAAATAAAACAAATAAAAAGTATTATATTCTTTAATTTATAAATAATTTGATTTTTTATTGATTTATTAAATATAATGATTGTTTTTTTTATAAAGAATTTATTGTTAAATGTATGTTTATTATCTAAGAGAAAAGGGTTTAATTAGAACCATGCTTTTTTTGAAAGATTTCGAATAATTCTTTACATATCGCCGCTAAATAAAATATTATAGAATGAAGAATTCGGAATAAAAATAATTTGATTGATGCAAAGTCAAAATAATTAATGTCATTTCTTTTAATGACAAAACTATTGAATGGTTTTTTCTAATTTAAAACAGGTGAGTAAAACAAATATAAGTTCTAACAATGTATACATAATAAATAAAATAAATAGGTCTTCAAAGTTCTATATAACGAGTATGTTAATCAAATTTGTAATTAAGTGAATATTGATTAGATATTTAGTGCATCATTCTTTTTCACAAAAAGGTTTGAACGCATGTTTTATCAAACTCGTCCACATTAAACCTCATTAAATCACTCATCATTTCTTGCATTTGCATCTCTCTATCAGAATGTAATAATGGTGGAGTTGGGTGGTGGAAATATTGGAATAGGAAATCAATTAGTGGCAAAATATACTTAGACCAAAGGTAAAAACGGTATTCATAGGCAACCTATAATACGGTATCATGTGAATAATTTAATCGATACAGAGAAATGATATAAAAGAATGCCAAGAAAGCAATTCACATACATACCCTCACATTTGGATTAACAAACACCTTATCATATCCCAATTTCCTAAAATCGCTATAAATCAAACAGCATTCACTTGCGTCAAATTTTAATTCTTTATCTTTAAATAGTGCCCGAAATCTCACATTGTGTTTTACAAATGGTTCAGCATTCATGACCGTTACACCGTTCCAGCAGCTGAACACTCGCACTGGGTCATTATTGTAGAGTTTTTGCTGAACTGCTTTGTCATAAAAATAGGGAAAGTAAGGATTAGGGGGCCAGGGATAACGCATACGTGAGGAAGGGAGCTCTCGTGTGGCAAAAGTATCGTAGAAAGTCCAATAGAAATCCATAGCACACGCCGCATCATAATTGCGATCGTTCGTTTCCAAAAGCACCAAAATGTCGGATGCTGTCCATATTACATCATTAAAAAATAATATATAATCAAATTTATTTCCCTTCTCCGTCTGTTCTAGTAATGGTTCCAATAATTTATTTCGTAGCCTTGCCATATAAGGTATTCTTCCAGTGTTGGTTTCATTTTTAGGTGAATCATTTATGATAATAGTGTTAGGTATGCCTTTGGCGTCAAGATCAGATCGAAGGGCGTGAAGTAGGAATTTTGTGTTGTCTTTACTGCCTGTATGTATGCGTAATGGCAACGGTGATTAGCATAATAAGTTATTTTAATTATCAAACGAACACACAGCTTACCGTTCTCAAATAATGATACATAAACATTCTCTGGATTTAGTATACGCAGGAGATCCAACAATTGCTCACTAAAATTGGGTAATATATCCTCGTTGTTATGAAAATTTGCAGCAATGAATATCTTCTGTTGTAATGGGATATATTGTTGCGAATCGACGGTAACAAAACTATTCCAACATTAGAAAGCACTTAGAGGATGTTACGATATGTACGGAGATAAATAATGTTTTTGAAGAATAAATCTAAACTCACATCCACCGTAATGCCAGAAACAATATTAGCATTACAATTATCAATTTCCACAAACGAGTCCACTTTCTGCTTAATTGACGCAGCCATATTAGAAACCTTGTTGCGATTTGTTTAATGTGCATTCGAGAAATTTCTAATAACTATATCTCATGTTAATTATTTAGCATATCTTTATTAATGAAAAATGTGTCTATATAGAATTTTCTTCGCTTTGTCTTTATGATATGTACAGTATTTATATTGATGATTATGCTAATGCATTCAATTTAAAAAATTTTTGGGGGTCTATCCAATATTCCAATTTATATAAATATATTTTTTTCCGCTGGCTTAGACTTACCAGAATTAGAAAAAAATGTATATACTGTATATTCCTGTTTCATCTTACTTATGCAAATATTTATGCGTAATCATTTTTTTTAGTAAGATCCAAATATTAACGTTAATAAACAAATATTTATTATATATAGTATTTATATAAAATAAAACCTATAATATTTAAAACATTAATATTAAAAAGTAAAATACCTTTCATCAATCATTTCTAAAAAAACAAATAATTATTAAACAAATTATTTATTGAAGTTTATATTAATTTTTTATTTATTTATATTATTTAAATATAAAAAAAAAGTACTTTATATTTGATTATTTTTTTTTTTATAAATTTAAGGTTTTTGTAAAAGTTGTAAAATATTTTTATATTTATTATAAAAATTAAAAAAAATTTTAAGTTTTAAATCTTTATTTTTAATTTTTAATTTTTATAATATACTGTATATTGATTTTTTTTTATATTGATTTTTTTTTGGGGGGGTTTCCTCTCACAGGTAAGCATTATTTCTTTATTTGATATTGTATATAACATGGTATACATCGTGAAAGAAACAACATCTCTTACGTAC